CCCCAAAACCCCAAAACCCCAAAACCCCAAAACCCCAAACAAGAATAATTTTTTGAAACTATTTAAATTCTTGGTAAAATGGAGGAAGAAAGAGCCAATGAAGATGCTAAAAAGATCTTAATCAACATTCTGGGAAAGAGACAGCCTGATAGTTCTCAAAACAATGTTGTCATACATGATGAGATGCCCAGTATCGATGATGAATCAAGTGAATACAAAGAGCCTTCAATTGCTTCTAAGAGTTGTAATGGAGAGCACTCTAAATAGCATTAATAACGCATTTAAAGATGAAGAAGGAAATACATTTACCTCTAACATGGATGCTACTCAGAGCAAAGGCTCAACAGTCTCTTTTCAAACTTTTAATCTAGAACCTCCAATGGAATATGAAGAAATTATTCAGAAATTAGAAGGAGATATTAGGAAACACATTCGTGTACAAAATCAGCTCAAACTCCATATTGAGTCCTTGCAAGGAAGAGTAGATGACAAGGAGAAAGAGTCCGTCGTCAAAAATCAACAAATAATTGACCTCACAGAGCATATGGAGGCTTTGAGAGGCTCTATAGCTGAAATGAATCAAAAGAAGAAGCAAGAAATTAAACAGCTCAAGGACCAAAGTGATAGAGAAATTAAAAGAATCACCGAAGAAAATAAAAAGTTAAATAAAGTTATTCGTGATCAATCTCAGTATGAAGAGAGGAAAGTATTTGTTGCAAAATCCATTCCTCACAGCAGTATTGAAAGAGCTAAACGGCCCGATTCTATCAGATCAAACAATGTAAGTCTGACAATTACTCATAACTCTAGAGCCATGGGCCGATGAAGGTGCAAGAAATATCGGGAATAAACATTAAATAAGCATCATAGGCATGGCTCTAATACATCGAATTTAAGCAGTAAGCATTACACTAAATTAGGCCAATCCAAGAAGTAAGACAGTTTATGTAATCATAGGCAATCAAATTTTGAAATTGGAAATAATCCCAAACAGTCTTTCAACACGAACAAACCAGTCAAGCAATCACCATATTCAACAATGAGGTATACTAAAACAGCAGAGGGTGATAACATGGACCTAGACTTGCTTCAGGATTGGGATAAACAAAAAACAATGCCCGTCCAAGCTAGACAGACCAGCTCAAAGAAAAGAAAATAGCGACTGTAAAAAGATCCAAAGGAAAAGCGAAAATAAATCCAAAAACAAAAGCCTACTAGCAACTAGTAATTCCAAAAGCCTTCGGTATGATTTATACAAAGGACTGAGTCAGTATAATCAAAGTATGGGGACTTTTGGAAAACCTGTGAACACTTCCTCTCAGACTCAACTGAAACGGTCCCAACTGTATTCAACAGCTAATGTGCATAATAAATCTACCAGTAATCTCGGCTCAGGAAGCATGAACATGAAGGCTCATCTTTCAAAGAAAATGATCAAGAATTATGTCAATACCAATCGAGAGAAAGATCATATGGGAATTAGATATGAGATTGAAAAGAATGGCAACCAAAAAAGACTTAATACTTACGCAAAAAAAGCTGCTCAGAGGGAAAACAATGGAGCAAAAAGACCTAAATCAACACTTGATAATGCTCCAACTTTCCAAGGGGGAAGTAATATTCGTAAAGTACCCAAGACGTACCAATCCCCATCTGGAATAGCAGATGAGTCTCGGAAAACTAAGGTAAAAGTTTATAAGCTTGAGAAGAACAAAATTGTCAGCGAAATTGAAGATAGGAGAAAGCATTTAAAGTCCAAAAGTCAGTCTAATTTCTCTTCCCAACATGCGGTCGATCATAAAGCCAAGAAATTGAGAAACTCAAAGATTAAGAAGACTGATATTTATTCACAGAACTTCATGTCGAATGAGCTACAAAAGTCTAGTGGTATACGGGAGAATGCTAGTAAGATCACATCTCCTGGATCTGAAAATAAAAAGTCTCCAATGAGGACAGTTTCCAACTTCCAACAAATGAACAAAGTTATCAAAAAAGTCAACAATACTATGAAAAATTCAAGAAGTCATTATACCCGGAAGGCTGGCACAGAAAGAGAGCTGAACAAAAATCACTCACTTATCGCAGAAAGTGGCTGAAGCGGCTTCTTTGGTAATAACAAAAACAAAGGTAATTACTATATAACAAGCAATTATAGAACTAAGGAAAGAACATTCAGGCTCTCGGGTTACAACAAAACCTTCTGGGAGTAAAGATCCTGAAAATAGAATGAATTTTTATCCCTCTCCACCAGATGAGGTTGATTTCGATTCCCTTGAGTTCCAGGAACAGAAAGAAGAATTTAAAATAACCCGACTGAAAAATAAGATAAAAGAGCGATCATCCAAAATGCGGTCTCCAGATATTTCAAAAGATCATATTCCTGAGTACTATTTTGATCTATCCAAAATTCATGAGAATAATGGTAAAATGCCGAAAATTGGAGGGAAAGAACGAATCAAAAGCTACCAACTATACAAAAGATAGTTTATTTTCTAGTATAAAATTATTTTTGGGGTTTTGGGGTTTTGGGGTTTTGGGGTTTTGGGG